GAGTTAAAATCATAAATAATATTCAACGTTAAACTGGTACACAATTAAAAACATTTTATTTAGGCCTATCTATGGCCTTCAAAAAGTTGACGACTCCTAAGGATGACGTTGTAACGTCGAAACATGCAGAGTCGTCAACTTTTTGAAGGCCATAGATAGGCCTAAATAAAATGTTTTTAATTGTGTACCAGTTTAACGTTGAATATTATTTATGATTTTAACTTTATACACAAGTGCCAAAATACTATAATTAAGTTTAGAGTTATTTGAAGTATAAGAAAGAGCAAATGGGTGTCCATGTTTAGTTTTAATTTAGTTTCGAATTTTTCGTTTTAGAGGGTACAGTTAATATTAAAATGAATTACGATCGTGACTTACGATGTTCAACCCATGATAACCATGAGCACTTTATTCATTATAAGTTATCTGTTGAGACACGAGGTGGCGCTGTGGTAGAACAGTGGATTTTTGGAACTGGCTAGTTGGGCTCGATTCCGTGCGATAGCGAAAAATATTCTCCGTATTTTAACTTGTGAGTGTGTTATAAGAGTGACAGACAATCCCTTACCGCAAATGGTGGGTGGTGATGTATTGCTAACTGGTCTGCCTTCCCTCTGGCCAGTAATTCAAAATTAGGGACAGTGGCGGATTGCCTTTGTAGTTTTGCCATAAATAAAAAGAACAAATGTTTATTGGCTCTAAGTACACTGTAAGTAACGAAACATGAACGTCAAAATGTTTAGCTTTTTTTTTTTAACGTAGTGATGCATCAACTCTTGATTTATTTTATTTTTTGCTCACATGAAGGGAAACTAACGGAAAATATGATAGATTTTAATCTCCATATTATCTCTGTCTTAATCTTGTTAATTCGTAAATATAGATTATTTATGGATTTATTAAGTAGAAAAAGCAATTTTTTTATTGACCTGAAGTCACGCAAAAGACTTACACCAAAATAACATTAAAACTGTGATTCTCGTTATCTGGTTACCATGGTTAATTTCACGTGTATGTTTGACTTTCAGGGCCTCTGTGTGTCGCTGTTATTTTGTTTCTTCAATGGAGAGGTGCGTATAAATACTGGTTATGCTATGTGTTTGTTATATGCAAAAATAGTTATATATTGTTTGTAATGATTAGTAATACTTAAAATATATATATATATATTTGGGTATCCCAAAAGTAATAAGACTGTAAAACATATAATAGAAGAAAAACGTGTTTTCTGGCAATGATATCTATCCGGATGACGTACGGCAAACAAAACATAGATGAAAATGAAATAGGTCAGCTCAAAGATTTGTTTTAATTTTGAAATTAATTATTCTTGTACTAACTGAAATTAAAAAATAACATTATATTCATGATGATGCAACAAAGTCATTTTTTTTATCCATAAATACAAATACATTACATACATATACCTTATAAGCTCGACCAAAAAATTAACGCAGCAAGTATTTAAAATTTCCTTTTCCCATGCATAGCCTAGTAAACGCGAGAATTTATGGTTTGAGTGCCGTTGCTATAAAATCGCGCCTCGCATTTTGTGGCTGTGCATTGTAAGAGTATGGACTATTATTCCCATTATTCGATTTGAGTAGCTCAACAGTTGGCGGCGGGTTATGTTGACTAGCTGCCTTCACTCTATGTATTATATCAGATCAAAATCCCATAAGTCACCTTCTGATTTGGGGCCTGGCATAGCCTAATAATTAGCGTGCCGGACTGTAAACGCGAGAATTTATGGCATGAGTGCCGTTGCTACAAAATCGCGCCTCGCATTTTGTGGCTGTGCATTGTAAGAGTATGGACTATTATTCCCATTATTCGATTTGAGTAGCTCAACAGTTGGCGGCGGGTTATGTTGACTAGCTGCCTTCACTCTATGTATTATATCAGATCAAAATCAGGGACGGATAGCGCATGTAACCATCGTGTAGGTATGCGTGAATATTCGAAACAAACACTCTTGTTTAGTTGGACCAACACAGAAAAAATAATTTAAATGACATTTACTGAAATAAAATGTGACAGTTTTAGAGAGGAATTCTGCAATAACTTCTTGAAACTCACTAAACTCTGATCTCAACTCTCAAGGTTATCTCCCTCATTAAGAAAAAATGGAACCAAGCTTTCCTGATGTGGGGAAATGACACAAAACGGAATTATGCTGTCACAACAATGTCTGTAGGTATATTATATTGTTTTCGGATTTAGACTTTGGAATGAAAGTATATGAGTAATTTAACAATAAAAAAAAAGAGAGGTTTTCTTAGAATTATGCACGGTTATCAATGTGGGTGTTGGAAAATTATTTCAGTTCAAGATCTGTGTGTTTTCATTTGATTAGAAATGTTTTAATTTTAGGGTTAGTAAAGCTTCAGAAAAGTGTTTTGGTTCTTTAGTGTTACATGACAAATACACGTCTTTTTTTTTTTTTCAAAGATAATAAAAGGATCGCTATTTTTCTGTTGCTTCGGTATTATTGTATATATTGACCAAATAATTTATACTGTTGTTTCACGAAGAATATGTCCAGTTTCATAATTTACAATAAAATATCACATAGTTAATAACTTACACTTGTCTTTTTTTATAATATTTGAAAGAAAATTGCGTTACTTTAATTTTTCTCAATTTAATTTGCATGGGGTGTCATTTGTTTTTGCTTCAACATACAAATAGTATTTTCAAAGCCGTAAGAACTGCGTTTATTCGATCACCTACTGAAAGTGGTCTTCAATACTTTCATTCATTCAAAGAAATACACTTTTATTTCCATCTGTATGTATAATCATTTTGTTTTAGGCATTAGTATCACGATTGTTAACCTTATATTTCCCCTCAAACCGTTTTAGCACGTGAAATATATATTCTAATATTAACCATGGTTTAAGAAAAATAGTAGTAAGAGTAACAGAACATTAAATACATTTTATTTAGTACACATTTTCAGGTTTTTCAAGAAGTTTTTGTTTGAAGGATACCAGGTTTGACCCATAAGAAAGAGCTCGAAATATTCTGTTTTACCTGCAAAAATTATCAACACAAAACAATGACCATGCAGAAACACAATCATTTATCAGAAATGTGCTTTTATTTACATCTATTTTATTTGTTTCAAATTTTCTTTCTTTTTTCCTCTCCTGTCTTGTGTGATGTTATAAATCTAACAATTACGTGGTTAAATAGAAAGAAAATACTGATTGGTGATATATATATATTTGTGAAAATTACTTCTTACGCTTGTTACTCCTTACACTTGTTACTCCTTGTTATTGTTTTCATACTATATTATATATTTTTTTTCAATTAATATATTTAAGAAATATTGAAACGCTTCATGAGATGCTTTAGATAAATAAGTGTTTCAATTCTGCTGATATCTTTATTTCGTTACCAAATATGCAGAGTAAAGTGTTACTAGCGTTCTATGCTAATCGTGAAACTTGCATTGTTTAAACTATACTATTTCAGAACTTAAGTCGTAAATTGATAATTAACGAAGTTTCAATAATCATTTTTTTTTAAACAGGAAAGCTTTAATCATTATTGGACTTAACTGAGATCTCTAATTAATTTGAGTGGATAACTACATCAAATTAATCTATATGTATGATACAGTGTTAAAAATATAATAGACCTAATACTAATGTCTTTTTTGTTGTAAAAAATGGCTTATATATAAATGGTACTCCAGTCACTGTTGTGCTCGTTGTATCCTAGCTAACCTGATCAACTCAGAATTGAGCGAAATGCGTCGTCTGCAATGGATATGGCGAACATAATGTGGTTAGAATACTATTATTATACACTCTACTAATTCTTGAAAAATCCCTAAGAGAATAGATATATAATGCAATGTTTAAAAATGTAATATGCCTAATACTAATCCTTATGTCAAGTGTAATCAAATTAACAAACATTCTTCAATTTCGTTGTCTTTTGTTTGTGCAAAGTGTGGGTCTACGCAACAGTTCGGAATAACTTCAAAGGTATAAATCACTTATTAAAACGAATGTTTTTTTTTAATTTTAATAACTTAGTTTAATTACATTTAGTTTGCTCTGTGTTGTTCGAACAAGTGTGCTTCTTTATCGTTTCTGTGTTTTGTTTTTTGACCATGCCAACACCGTCACACCATGACCGGGAGGACACTACAGCGGTCTAACCAAACTAGGTATCTTATTTTCTGAATAGATGTGTGTGTTACTGTGAAAACATTTTCGTTACCTCGTTATGAATAGAATGAAAAAAAAAAACGTATAAGTTATACTAGGCTCCAAACATACATTAAAGGATTAAAGTCTTGTTTAATGGGTTTCAAAAAATACAAATTAACCCTGAATGCAAGAAGGAATATTAAGATTATAAAAAAAATCTAATCCTTAGTTTCAAATTCCATCATAATCTATAAATTTACAAGCTCAATTTTACCAAGTCCTATAGAGCAAAATTGATTAATTTCAAAACTCGGACGAGAAAGAAAGACTTAAAAACCCTTAACTAAAACAGGCGAGAGTCACAAGATTATTTTTGCAAAAACAAAACAAGTTCAATAAAATGACTACATAATGATTTTTAAATAATTTTTTTTAGTTTAAAAAAATTTTTGCAGCATTTTGCTGATGATTAGTAGCTGTAAGTCGAGGCGCCCCCAAGTGGCACAGTGGTAAGTTTGCGGGCTTGTAACGCTAGAAAACAAACCGTAAAAAATAAAGCGATGTTCCCTGCTATCCTCTTTACCGACATACCCGAGAAATCATCTGACGGCGTACCCATGGACTTCGGTGGATTTAGTTTGTTTAAATGTTGTCGTGGTAGCCGATGTCCACTTACTGTGGTCTTGGTAGCCGATGTCCACTTTCTGTGGAAAATTTATCACCTTGTTTGTAGATAAGCACAAAGCTTTACAATAGACTATCTGTGTTGTACCCACATGAGTATCGAAACCCAGGGAAACGCTGCCATGAACTTAATGTGTGACTTGGTGCTTTATCCTGATGTAACCACATCGTTCTGGCTTCCTGTTCTTGCAGTGCAATAACTTCATCTTATATAAATAATACCAGTTACATTTTGTTGTTGTTTTCTAATAACAGCAAGAGCTCGGTTTTGCTTTGCTGTGTACATCATGAAGTTTAAATTTCCAATTAAATCAGAAGCCTGCAGCATCCACAAAGGGTAACGTAAACTTTCTTTACATTCTTTGTATCATGTTTAAAAATACGTCTTTATCACCTCTTGGTCGTTAGCAAACCGTCTGTTTCTTGTCATTGTTCTTCAAACACACCTATTATTCATCGAATATTACAAAACTTTCATCTCTCCAGTTCAAGGACTTTTTATATGTGTGTGTATGTGTCTTGTGCACTCGTGGTTTGTTTTTTGATTAAACGATCTTTGGAAATTATCTGCGCAGTTGGTGTAGATAAGTGCTTTTGTTATCAATCAATTTCTGATTGAGAAGTGGAGATACCTTGATGGCTAATCTATAAATTTGGCAATGACAATGGCGGGTGTACTGTTTAGGTGGATTTGCATCCTCCTATGAGTGTAGTACTGATCTTCCCTTGCCAGTGCCATGTTGAAATTGATATGTTTCTGGCTTTGATTTATCACTACATGAATATCCTTCCTCGGAGATTACTTGATATAGAATATCTACTAGTTTAAAGTTTAATCGTGGAAGAATTTTACTGTTGAACGCCGGGAATTTGTTGTGTCCTTTATTCATGTGTTAAATATGTCACTGGTGGTGTAATGCATGGCATCTGCAGCGACATCTACTTCATTGGCATACGTAAAGCACGATTAACCCTCCATGGAATCAAAGAGCGTTGTGTTTACATATTTTGTACGCTGGAAATGTTTATGTATTCTAAGGTTTATGTCATTCAACGTAATGTTAGAGCCGTAGTAACTTTTATGTCATTCAACACCCCCCCCCCCAGTGGCACAGCGGTATGTCTGCGGACTTACAGCGCTAGAAATCGGGTTTCGATACCCGTGGTGGCCAGACCACAGATAGTCCATTGTGTAGCTTTGTGCATAACTTCAAACAAACAAATGTCATTCAACGAAATGTTATAGCCGTAGTAACTTTTCTGCCATTCAACGAAATGTTATAGCCGTAGTAACTTTTCTGCCATTCAACGAAATGCTATAGCCGTAGTAACTTTTCTGCCATTCAACGAAATGTTATAGCCGTAGTAACTTTTCTGCCATTCAACGTAATGTTCGAGCCGCAGTAACTGTTCTGTCGACTAAAATGACGTGAGAACTTTATTAAAGTTTTTGTGGTCGAACATTGTATAAAACCTATGTTTATCAGGATTTGCAAAAGTCTTCGAAATCCTGGAAATTCATGGATAACGACCTCTAAAAATTTCAGTGCTGAAAATCCTTAAAAAAAAAAATACTGTCTTCAAATCACGGTCCTAGAAAAGTTGAACTATCTAAAAATGCTAAATAAAGGGAAGAAAAATCTCGGTTATAGGAATTGGGTTTGCTTATATTTTGTGTCAGCCATTGTGAATCTCGTATCTCGCGATATTCGAGACCATTGCAGTTTCCACAGGCGAGCACGTTTAATGAGCAAAAATGCCATGAAATTGCAATTTTAATCCTGCGTGGTATGATTCAAGAATCTTGGAAATTTGATTAAGGATTCTAGGGAGTCTCGAATTTTTTTTGTATATATATATATATATATATATACTTTTTTGTACAGTCTGCATGAACCTGAGTTTACGTATTTTCTACATGTTACTATGGCTTGCTTTAATCAGTCGTAGACAGATAAAATTAGATCTGCTCGTGTAAACTTCCTAGTAAGCCTAATAATTACACTAAAAACGATTTTATGAGTTGTAAATCTAGTAATATATTAGTCTTAGCAAACTCTGTATGCATGCAACTTAGATTTTGGGTTCAACAGGTAAGTCGAAACATTTTAAGAATGAAAGAAAAATTTAAAGTTTTAAAAATCTTATAAACAACTAAAGATATATAGATGGCTAGTTCTACATATAGTTTTCACATTTAACGAAAAGGAAATTCAAACTATGTTGCATAGGTGGAACCCCTTCTGTTTTGCAAAATTTGAAAAATGATGATCTTTGCGGTACATTTTTAGAAAAAAGGCAAAATTTATTATTTTAAAATGTCAGCTGTTAATTGAATTTCTTCTTGATTTTTGTTTCTTTATTGTTATTTTTTGTTTTGTTTGTGTCCCCCGGTGGCACAACGGTATGTCTGCGGAGTTATAACGCTAGAATCCGGGTTTCGATACTCGTGGTGAGCAAAGCACAGACAGCTTTGTGCTTGACTTCAAACAAACAATCTTTGTTTTCTTTAGCATCCAACATTTAAATAAAACGTTTTTATAAAGAACATGGCAAACCTGCTATTTAATATATTGAAAATATTTGATAACGACATCGACTATTATAATCATGTATACGCAACACACTTTTGTTCTGTGCATCACGTTTAGTGCAACTAGCCATTTTCACATATTTCTTATACTATTTGTTTTCGATACATTATTTCATAAATCAGGCTAATTTAGTATATTTAGCGTAAAGATAAGGCAGTTATGGGACTGTTATATTTAAATATGTCTGTGTGTTTGTAGATGTAAATAAACATATTTTATAACAGTGGTTAGTGATGTGATTTAGGTCTAATCTGAAACTGCAAAGCTCGTGTGGTATTATTGGGTTCACGGTCGAAAACGTTGTTAACGGCAAGTGTAATCAATCAAAGAGTAAATGTAAATTTTATTACCTTGTGTTTTATTTTTAAATTATTATTGCATGCCTGGGTAGATAGATTGTGTGTATCTGTGTTAATGCGCATGTGTCGTGACTATCTAACCTTATTTGGTAAAAATAACAATCTTACCTTATGACTATCTAACCTTATTTGGTAAAAATAACAATCTTATCTTATGACTATCTAACCTTATTTGGTAAAAATAACAATCTTACCTTATGACTATCTAACCTTATTTGGTAAAAATAACAATCTTACCTTATGACTATCTAACCTTATTTGGTAAAAATAACAATCTTACCTTATGACTATCTAAACTTATTTGGTGAGACGGTTTTAAAAGTTACATCCTGAGTTCATTATGACTATCAACTATAAGTCTAGTAACATTTACTACTTACTCACTTTAGGCATGTTAGAAAATAATACTAAGATGATATACATCTAAGAATATCCAAAGCCGTAATTTAACCTGTAAATATAAATAGGGCTCTACATTTTTCATGTTGGTAAGGCTATTTTAAATAGACCATTTCCTATAACTAGAAGACACTTTCAACAATTTTCTTTATAAATATAACATAGATAATAAGTACGACCGTAATTAAATTTCCCGACATTATCACCAAGTGTATCAGAAAGATTACTGGTCAGTGCAAAGAAACTATCATTTTTATTCATTGGTTTGCCACTGAAAATTTCAAGTGATCATTGATTTTTGATAGAACAGTCAATTTTGATACCGAGCTTCAGTTGCTTACAGCAGGAAGTCCTCAAACAAAGAGACAATTGATTTATTTACTCTTCATTGATGTGCTTTGAAATTGGGTCGGGTAATTTTTACGTGCTCCTGGATGCAGCCATAAGCTGATGATTATCAAAAATATTACATACCACATCATTTAGACTATTATTAAAAGTGGCTGAAATTACCATTACAATGGACTTGGAATAAGAAACGCAATTATTATGTAAATATAATACATCTGGAATTGTTTGTAAAGTTTCGAAATCTTCCATCGCTAAAACTCGTTCCTTTAAAGAGTTTATTTTTACAATAAAGTTTAAGAAACATTAATAATAGTATATAATAGCCTGTTTTAGCATAAGTACTGAGCTTAATGTTTTAAAACCAAACAAAAACATGTCGGTACTACAGTTGTTTAATATATGTAAAAACGTGACCATTGACAAAATCACATGATAACACCAAGTAATCTCAACACATTCTGAAAATTGAAAAGAAGTTATTGGAAAGTTCTATGATACGCAGATCATGATCTTAGCGTTAGTTGTCTTTCTTCGTTCTAGGAATCCAATCGGGCAGGCGGCAAGAAATCAGCTAGAAATGTGAAGACGAAAGAGACCGTGACACATGTCTTTCCGTGAGAGCAGCCTAAAATAGGTGGTTTATTCTGTGGGTTTGTATCAAGAAGACGAAGAAAATCCACGGCTAAAAATAATGTTTCCAGTTTTTGCATGACCGAAACCACTGATTGATGAATCAGGGAAGAACTGTGTTATGTTTAAACTGTACTGAAGAAGTGATGTTTTGCAGAAAAATGTTAAGTTAATTTTTTTTTCTCCGCATAGAATTGGCGCTTTTGTACTTTCGTCGACAGAACTACCCCAAAAATGAAAGTACCTCTTAGTTATGCGGTGATCAGCCACATAATTATATTGATATGGCGCACCTTAAAAACCAAAATTCTTCGTTTTTGCTATCTTGAAGAAAACTTTGTATAAATATAATCTGATATAATCGTTTAATAGATTACAAATTAGATTTGATATTTCTTATGATACGTCATACTAAATTTAGCGTCTGATTTGTCTCAGAAAAAACAGGATTCTCTCGACTACGCGGAACAAAAGCCAAGACTCTTCCGTTTAATTCTAAAATATTTAAGACTGCATAATAAAAGTTAGGACTCTGAGATGAATTTTTGAACATCATAAAAACTGAAAAACAAAAGACGCGATTTTATGATAAATGTTTGAAACTACTAGCAAAAGAATTTTACGAAAGATATTCAAAAGCTTTGATATCAATAACTAAAATCAAAGCTCGTAAATAGGATCTCTTAACTTCTTGAAAATTAGCAATAAAAACTACAGTTCTTAAAGAAGTTTCTTAAAAGTCCTGAAATTAATTAAAAAACTAAGGCTCTCAGCAAAAACCCCATGTTGAAAATAAAAACTGGGGCATTTCAATACAAACTTAAAGATACAGATCGTCGATAGGTTTTTAAAGTTCCCATAAACTATTTCAGCAATTTTTTTTTAAAGATCTAACACAAACAAAAATTGTTAAGGCTTCACAATGAAAATGAAGAGGCACTATTGATTAATTTCTATGTTTTATTATCAGTGATGTGAAGGAAATTCAACAAGCAGTCTAATACTTTTAAATTATGAATTGTTGAGACGTAGTTATATACTTAAAAAATTGTCTTATATATATATATATATATACTCTTGCGAGTATCATGTTATGTACGTTAGGAATATGGATAAGATAACGAGACTTGTATTACATGAATTAAAAATAACTCTTTCTATAGATGGGTACAAAATTATGAGTTATGGGTTATAATTCAATGTAACCAGTTAAAGTCGAGGAATGAGGGATCTCTTTATCGCTTAGTAACTGTTTGACATTAGTAATATTTATAGTAAAAAACCAAAACGACGTTTTTTGGCACAATGAAAGATAAGTTATTATTTTTAAATATTTTAAGCAATGGATAAGTTCAAGAAAATAAATTATTATCAATTATCTTCCCTTTGGTGGAGGGAAGATAAAAAAAATACTACATTCTTGGCAGATGGAGAGCAGAAAAGCAGAACAATGAGTTACTAGGTTCGTTACAACAAAATTTGTAAACAATGAGTAACTAGGTGAATTATTTAAGCAGTGTCAAACTGGTTACTTTTATTACAAAATAATTTGAAAACAATAAATAACTAAATGAATTATTTAAACAGTTTTGATTTGTTTGGCTACAACAGATTTTCTAAGCAATGAGAAACCAGGTGTAAACAATTTTAAACTGGTTGTTTTAGTTACAACAATGTTTTAACAATGAGAAACCAGGTGAATTATGTAAACAATTTTAAACTGGTTGTTTTGGTTACAACAATGTTCTAACAATGAGAAACCAGGTGAATTATTTAAACAATTTTAAACTGGTTGTTTTGGTTACAACAATGTTCTAACAATAAGGAACCAGGTGAATTATTTAACCAGTTTTGATTTGGAACTTTTGCTACATGGTTTATCGTTCATTAAATAACCTGTATTTGTACTGAAAATTGATGTTGTTTTCTACATTCCTCATTGTTCTGGAATTGTGCCAAAAGGACCGAGGAGAAGTCGACCCTTTATATTGCTTTTACTAGCAGTGTGAGTGTAATATATCAAAATGACGGTACGTGTTTTTGTTGTTGTGTTTGATGCTTAGTAGTTAGTAAATCATTAGGTCTGCATAACATTATTTTAAAACAATGTTAAATACAGCAAAATTATAACAGTGTCAGTTAGTACAGAAAAGGTGTATCAATGATGTTTAAAGAACTAATTTAAATGCTTGCTTACTGTATCTAAGAATGCGTTAGTTACTTAGTGAAGTATTGTATAATTGGGCTGATATCTGTTTTTGTATCAGATATAGTGAGAATACAAATAAACTTTACTTGCACATATGATTTTGAGTGTTATGTTTTATCAGCTTAGAGCTCAAGTATAAACTTTCAAATCGAAGCAGAAATTCTGAAATAGATGTATAATCTATAAACCCTTTCTAAATATCTGATTTTATCATCTTTCTTGGATTGCCTGAAACATCATTTTTTAACAACGACTTTATACTGATTGATACATATTCAAAATTTAACATAATCGTTAAAATGTTCAGTGGATGGCTTGGCAGCCAATCTTTTCTGTTGAATAAATATCTAAATTTAAAAAAAAAATGCTAAAGCTTTAGGATCTCGCACATTCTTTTTAAATGTGGAATGCAGTTTTTTTAAAAATACATAGGTTGGGTGTGTTATGTCAAAACAATTTCTGTGCTTCAACACGTCGTTATAGTCCATGTTGCCACGTCCGTTCATGCTCTGTCTGACGCCTGTGCACCTTGACAATAGTCCTGCAACTAAGTAGCCATTGTAAAAAGTTCCGTCGTAAAGCTGTCATGTCCAAATGTACATCACTTCTTCATGGGACTCTCTATTTAGGAGATTCATATCTCATTCTACAGTACGAATCGATATCTGGATATCTTATTCGCATTAGCTTAACATTTTTCGTGCCTTTAAAACGTTAATACCACAAAAATTTAACCGAAATTTTAATATTCCATTTCTATCTACAATTTTATTATCATCCTTCTAGTTTTCGATCAGATAAAGAAATGTCTTTGGGGTATTTAATTAGGCTCTATAAAGAAGACCAAAACACACTTTTTACTGCATATCTTTTAAGCAATAATATTAAATTATTAAAGGAAAATAGTAAAAAATATTAGTAAAGTTGGTAGAAAAATAGGGCGAGGATAAGACTATTACATGAACATGATGAGTTATGACACTACAGATCTATTTAAATACAGTAGCCCCCTAGTGGCATAGCAGTAAGTCTGCGGGCTTATAATCCTAGAAACCGGGTCTCGATACTCGTGGTGGGCACTGCACAGATAGCCCATAGTGTAGTTTTGTGGTGACTTCAAACAAACGAAGAAAACTGCTTTAGTATTTCTATAGAAACAATTAACTTTAAGAGTTGACGAGGGTGAATATTTTATTATAACATTCGGAGAGTATACCGTTATTTTCTCCACCCTCGATAGCTCAGCGACATGTCTATAGGTTATTTTCTCCACCCCTATGACTCAGTGACATGTCTATAGGTTATTTTCTCCATCCACGATAGCTCAGCGACATGTCTATACGATCTTTTCTCCACTCCGATGATGGCTCAGCGACATGTCTATAGGCTATTTTCTCCATCCACGATGATTCAGCGACATGTCTATAGGTTATTTTCTCCACCCTTGATAGCTCAGTGACATGTCTATAGGTTATTTTCTCCACCCCTATGACTCAGTGACATGTCTATAGGTTATTTTCTCCACCCCTATGACTCAGTGACATGTCTATAGGTTCTTTTCTCCTTCCCCGATGGCTCAGCGACATGTCCATAGGTTCTCTTCTCCCTCCCCGATGGCTCTGCGACATGTCTATAGGTTATTTTCTCCACCCCTATGACTCAGCGACATGTCTATAGGTTATTTTCTCCATCCACGATGACTCGGCGACATGTCTATAGGTTATTTTCTCCATCCACGATGACTCAGCGACATGTCTATAGGTTATTTTCTCCACCTCTATGACTCAGCGACATGTCTATAGGTTATTTTCTCCACCTCTATGACTCGGCGACATGTCTATAGGCTATTTTCTCCATCCCCGATGACTCAGCGACATTTCTATACGTTAATTTCTCCATACCCGATGATGGCTCAGCGACATGTCTATAGGTTCTTTGTGTTGCTTAACAACAAACAGGCTATTCAAATGCATTGTCCCTTGTGTATTGTTGCCCCTCAGTGGCACAGCGGTATGTCTGCGGACTTACAACGCTAGGATCCGGGTTTAGATACCCGTGGAGAGCACAGATAGCCCATTGTGTAGCTTTGTGCTTAATTACTAACAAAACTTGTGTATTGTTCAATGTTAAAAAACTATTTTTTTTATAAAACAACGATAATTGTTTACGCAATTCTAAAAATGATACTGTTTCCAGTCACAAAATTACAATAAAATGCAAAGAATGTACGGTACAGGGTAAAAATAAAATAAAAAAACCCGATGACTGGAAACAGTTTCACACAATCTACACGTTTCGACGTATTTTACAGCGTCATCCTCAGCTGTCAATGAATTCTAAATGAAATTAACTTAATCATTCTCATAATTTAGTTTTGCAGTAAAACTATTTTATAATGTTTTACTTCAAAGAAGATTTAATCTTTGTACGAAATTTAGTTCTTTTTTCTTAAGTATCGTCATCTTCACGAAAGAAACTTAGAAAAGACCTCTTTCCATAGAGTGCTTTCACGAAAGATTTCATATCTGAAGAGCCTTCTTAAGTCATTTTATAAACATGCGATAGGTTAATAGGTGTCTTGAGATGGAATTAAGTATAGTCCAGCTTAAATTGCATAAAAATATGTTTCTTGTTTAAACATAAATTGCATAAATATTTTTCTTGTTTAAACATAAATTGCATAAATATTTTTCTTGTTTAAACATAAATTGCATAAAATATTTTTTTGTTTAACATAAATTGCATAAAATATTTTTCTTGTTTAAACATAAATTGCATAAAATATTTTTTGTTTAACATAAATTGCATAGAATATTTTTCTTGTTTAAACATAAATTGCATAAAATATTTTTCTTGTTTAAACATAAATTGCATAAATTGTTTTCATGTAAAATATTTTCTTAACTGAAAAAAAACAAAGCTGAAAATTTAACGGCTTGAAAAGTATTCTATGATTATGGTGTTTCACAATGTTACTTTTTAACAAGTAACTAAAACAGAAAAGAAACATTCGTTACTTCTATGTAACTTCGAGAAGTGTGATTGATAAAACATTAGGTCATTTTGTACAGATTCGATTTAACATGGCTGGTCAACTGATTTTAATTACAATATCAATATATTTCCGATACATTGTGTTTTTAAGATACTTCTTAAGCTCTTCACAATCAAGAGTGGCGGGCTTTCGATCCGATGTTCGCGCCCCGTTACTGTAGAATTTACCACAATTTGGCGCTATATGTGCGTTATAAGAGTGACGGTTAATACCACTATAAGGTCAGAATATCTCATGAGTTCGCAGTGGGTGGTGTTGACTACATGCCGTTCGTCGAATGTATCCCTTCAAAATTAGGGACTGCTAGTGCAGGTTGCCTCAGTAGCTTTGCGCGAAATTCAACGGACAACAACATTCCTGAGATAGCTTTGAGAACCAACTTACGAAATATTTCATGATGACGAGAAACCCACTTGAAGTTAAAATGTACAGCAGAGACGGCTGGTATTTGCAGTATTCAAAAACGTGGGAAGGTGTATTTTATAAATGCAACAGCTGCCACGACTTCTATACCGGAGGGCCCGGCATGACCAGGTGGTTAGAGCGCTTGACTCGTAATGTGTGGGTCGCGGGTTCGAATTCCCGTCACACCAAACATGCTCGCCCTTT